CCAACTTTTGAAGATATTTTCCACCTTGATTAACTGAATCCAGGATACAGATGTGTAACTTCACCTTTTTTTTTCTTTTCTTTCTTTGAGCTTTTTGAGAGACAGAAAACAATGAGAGGCTTGAGTTATTATGGTAACAAGCTGAAAATGACTTTGTCTTCTTGGTAAATAAGGTGTGAACAACAATTCCAGATTCGACAGGTTCTTCAATTATACATTGGTGCTAGTAATAAAATAAACATGTTTTCAATAACATTTGAGATATAAATACGTTCTTTTTTACTAACTACTCTGCAGAGTGTAATACTGTCCTTACCAATCTACTACAGCATGTAGCAGCTCTTGCCCATTCTTGCCTATTAAAAATTAAACCCTTTTACCATATATTATTAAAAGTGCTTTGGTTGGCTGCAAATCAAGAAAGACTTCATAAAGTCTTACAAGAACAAGAAATCTGATTAAAGCTACAGTCCACAGGCAGCAATAGAAAGTGCATGAGAAAAAAATACAACAATAAATTATGTCTTAAAAACTCCTTCAGGACTTTAAAAAATCATTAGTAGATTTTATTTGAATTAACTATTGGCCAAAGGACTCTTAATAGATTAATTATTCCATGTTCTCCCTTTACTTTTTCACTTTGGAATCTGTGTTAGTTATAGATTCAAATACCTTCATTCTTTGTTCTCCCCATTTTCAGAATGTTTTTTTTCTACAAGTATTTTGCTCATTTAATAGTTCCTCTATGCCTTGTGTATAAACTCTGAGGAGTTTGAAGATTAAACTGTAGGTTAGCTGAATTGTGTGGTGTGGGGTCTGATTTTCACTGTAGGAAAAAATGTAAGCAATTTAGGAAAGGAAAAAATTAAGGGAAAACATCCCTGGGGAGAGAAAAAGGCTGCAAGCATTTTACTGACAAAGCTGGAGAAGCAGGTCCAGATTATTTAAAATAAAACCTCTCTCTCTCATGTAGCTTTTAAAGGGAAAAAGGGAGAGAAAAATATGTTCTTCTCATTCTTGTGTTTTACGATATTGATGTTAGACAGTATTCTGGAATAGAAAGTAATAATTCATTGGAAGTCCTGGACTTTGCACATGGTGGTGAAGGAGCTGACAGTGCCATCACCGAACTTCATGTTGAGTGTTAGCCACGAGGCTTGTAACATCTCCCTGAAATTGTGTGGGATCTGCTGCTCCAGCTGGATCCCTACAAATCTATGAGGCCTAATGGGATTCATCCAAGAATCCTCAAAGAGCTGACTGATGTCATTGCAAAATCTCTCTCAATGATTTTTGAGCAGTCTTGGGAATCCAGAGAGGTCCCAGCTGATTGAAAGCTGGTGAATGTTGTCCCAATTTTCAAGAAGGGCAAGAAGGAGGACCCTGGACACTACAGGCCTGTCAGTCTCACTTCAGTGCCTGGTAAAGTTATGGAGAAGATTATTCTGGGAGATATTGAAAAACACCTAAAATACAAGACAGTTATTGATCACAGCCAGCACAGCTTCATGAAAGGAAAGTCCTGCTTATCCAACCTGATTTCCTTTTATGACAAGGTGACCTACCTAGTTGATGAAGGGAAGCCAGCTGATGTCATTTTTTGGATTTCAGTAAAGCTTTCAATACTGTCTCTCACAGGATCCTTCTGGAAAAAATGTCCAACACACAGCTGGATAAACACATCATGTGATGGGTGAGCAATTGGCTCATGGGTTGAACACAGAGGGTAATAGTAATAATGGGGTAACATCAGACTGGAGACCTGTCACTAGTGGGGTTCCACAGGGCTCCATCTTACGTCCTGTGCTCTTCAACAACTTCATAAGTGACTTGGACACAGGACTGGAAGGGATATTAAGCAAGTCTGCAGATGACACAAAACTGGGAGAAGCTGTTGACTCCCTCAAAGGCAGGGAGGCCCTGCAGAGAGACCTCGACAAATTAGAGGACTGGGAAATCACCAACCATACGGAGTTTAACACAGGGAAGGGCCGGATTCTGCACCTGGGATGGGGCAACCCTGGGTGTATGTACAGATGGGGTAATGAGATGCTGGAAAGCAGTGCCATGGGAAGGGACATGGAGGTCCTGGTCAATGGCAAGGTGAATATGAGTCAGCAGTGCCCTGGCAGCCAGGAGGGCCAACCCTGTCCGGGGGGGCATCAGGCAAAGCATCACCGGCCGGTTGAGGGAGGGGATTGTCTCGCTCTGCTCTGCACTGGGATGGCCTCACTTTGAATATTGTGTGCAGTTTTGGGCACTGCAATATAGGAAA